CACGTGTGTGTGTGTGTGTGTGAAAAGTGCCGGGTCGATAAACAAATTATATATATATATATATACATATATATAAATATATATATAAATGAAGAAGCAGCAGCGCTGTCTCTGCCGACGTCAACGGCGACGGCGCTGCTAGCTGATAGCGGGCGTCGCGACGTCGCGTTTGACTCATTAAATATTTTGCAACCTTGACCGTTCGAAAGCGATTAAAAATGCGATGTATAAATGCAAGTGTTTCGAGTATGTGTATTTGTGTGTGTGTGAGCGGCATGCAATTGCATGCATGTGTGGGTGCCCCTTGTGAATGAAACAAAAATTGTTGACATTTGACAAAGCGAAAGAAGAAGAGAAAGAAGAAAAGGAAGAGGAAGAAGAGGAGAGGCAGTGAAATGTGAAATCCACACTGCCCCACAAGCAAACAAAATGTGCCTATCGATAACACTAATGGCAATTGGTAGGAAAAACAAAAGTAAATGAAAATGGGGGCTGTGATGGAGGCAGGGAAAACTAGGTTCACCTGTAAAAATGAAGTCATTCTCAAAAAAAAAAACAAAAAATTTGCAAAAATAATTGAATATAAACTGATGTTATCTTGAATTATTTGCATTTTTTTAAAGAACACTTAGACTGCATATCCAATAGAACAAAGGAACTAACCAAAATTAATATATTGACAAAAAAAAATATTGAGTGTATACATATATGTACATATACTAAATCGAAAAGAAATATTGTCTTTCGAAAAAATATTGCAACTAATATGAAAATTTTAAATACTACACACTACCGGATTCTCGATTAAAAAAGCTGACTACAACGGAAACATCACCAGACCGCAACGAGATAATCCCATTTTTATCGAAGCTTTTTTGTCAATGCAGCAGAAACAAAAGACAAGAGATAGCAAACAAAGTCCCGAAAGACGAAAAATAAGAATCATTTATCGTTTTACGCTTTTTCCCAGTTTGCCTTCGGTTTATTTTTTTTTATTGTTTTTTTCTTTTCTGTTTCATTTGCTATAAACAATTTCAGTGGAAAGGCAACAAAAGAACAGATTCCGGGCTCTCATTGCATTCTAATGAAGTTAAATTGCTATTAGCGTGTGTATGCGTTTAAATTTTGATTCGCATTTCGGTTCAAGCCAAGCATAAATATCTACATACACTAAACTAAAGAAATGGGAAGGAAATGGCAGCCATTAAATGTCGATTTACTTGGCTGCGGTATTTCGCCTCTCAACATTAGACTTTTTTGCCTTTTGCAAACCCAACACTTCGTATTCTGTTCTTAGAAACATTTGAATTGTGATATTTTCAAATTTATATAACAACAAACCATACGAATTTAACGAACTAGTTAAATCTTAACTACAGTCCTTCCTGTTTGAGCTACCGAGGAAGGAAATGGGCGATAAGTAAGGGATAAAAACAAAGAATGTGGAAAGTTAAAGAAACACAAAGGAAGTCCCATCGAAAATACCAAAAGCATATGGTATGTATTTATATGAAACTAATAAATAATGGTATAATTTTAAATAATTTATTAAATTATTTGTTTAAATTAATTGAATAATTTATGATATTTAATACAATATAATGTGTATTATATATAGGAATTGTAAGCAGATACTGTTAATAGGTAACGGTTTTTCATTTAAAAATATCTATAATTTTTAACCATCATTATTAAATTAAGTGTTATTGATTTCTTCTGATTTATAGTTTTTATATTTTTTTACAAAAAAAATAATTGAATTATTTATCGAATCTCTAATATATATTATTTGAGAATGCGCAAAATAGGGCCATGTGACCTTACTGTAATCGTTGCGGCAGGTCAATGGTGTCAAATTACATAGCATTATTTTTAGTCTCTTTCTCTTTCCGATTTTCATCACCTTGTCTTTTGTCTTCTCAAGTGCTTCCCACTTCCCGCTTTGTTTTTCGCTTGTCTAAACCACAAAAAACTGTTGTCGAACCCTCTATACATACATCATCATATTCATCATCATTATTAATTATCATCTGTTTTTGTGTTTGTTACGTTTTCCGCATTTTTTATCTCTACTTTACCACATACTTTTTGCAATGAATGACTCATTTTACCAACTGGCTTTGAATGCAAATTATGAAATGAATTTAAATGCAAAATGTTGCTAAGTGATATTTGCACTTATAGGGTTCCCAAGTGGAATTAAAAATAAATAAAAATAAACACGGAAATGTTAATAGGTAGGTGGAAATGTAAATTTCAAGTATTTTCCAAGAAACAGAAACTAAATGAATGATGGAATAAATAATATTTATTATCTCACAGCATTTATTTATTTAACCTTAATAATACAATTTTTTTTTAATCTTGAAATCTATTACTCGAAAAGTTGTCAAAAAATAACCAATTAAAAGCACAAATTATACCTGTTTTCACGACAACATAGGAAAACATAGCATTAACATAACTTTAGATAAAACAGGTTAAAGATAGTATTAAATGACATTGGATCGAGTCAAGGTCAAGCCAGAGGTCCTAAGATATGTGATAATGGAAAAAAACGAAAATGTTAAACAGATATGCCTCTACAAAACTAATTTAATAAAAAATGGTTCATATTTGTAAAAAAAAGTAAATTTGTTGTTTTATAATTTTTTTTTAGTTCTTTGATATTAAGTAATTGTTAAATATTTCAGAATTACTGTTTAAATTTCATCAAAATCGAACGACTATATCATACCTCCATAGGTATAATCAAAATATTAAAAAAAATTCTCTATTTTTTAATTTTTTTTTAGAATTTTATTCAAATGGGAAAATTATATAATAATGATGCCATAGAAACGATCGAATAATTAAGCTGAAAATCATAAAAAAAAATCATAAACGTTTTTAAACATATACGCAAATAAATCAAAATTTAAATGTTTTAAAGAATATTAATTATTATTATTAACTTCGGGTTGCCGAAGTCGTTTTCTTTCTTTCTTGTTTTCAAAGAAACCACTTGAAAATTTCAATCTTAACACATAAATAAACATGATACAAGTTTATTTTCATGCCGGAAATCTTATCTGAATGGGACCTACATTCTCAGAATTTTAATTGAAAGGCGACTGATAAACCAAATCAAATATAACACAAAACATATGCAATATATTTTTCGTTTGATATTTTTCCCGCAACGAACAGAATGTCAGAAATTACAATTTGCACCCATTCATTAGAGTTAAATATACGTAAAGCCGCCACCCCCACAAGAAAATAACCAACGCAATTTTTAATTTTTTGTAAAGGATAACTAGCAAAAATTAACTCTATGGAAACTAATACCCACCCCCAGTCAGTTTTTCCTTATTTTCTTGCCCACAAAGTGCGCAGGAAAAATGCAATTACGCTAAGGAAAAATAATACCAACGCACCCACGGGATTTAAAATGAGGGGAAATCATATAATTGATTACCAGGAAAATAAATCGCACAACGGTCAAGCTTTACCCAATTAAAGGAAAATAATGTATATATAAACTCTCTCTCTGTTAGGAAAATATAAAAAATATTGGTTCTCCGAAAAAAAAGACAACAATCCGATGGAGAAAAATAATACCCAACTAGGGAAAACTTAATAATTGGGAACACTTGAAATGACGCCTTAAAAAGATCCAAAAGTCATATACAATGTTTAGAAGGTTTTATGAAAGTGTACACTAAAAATGTCTGTGTATTCATAAGCGCTCATCAAAATGATGTGTTTAAATATTTGCCTGTGGGAAAACAAACACTCGCCTTTCCCACTCTCATTTAAAAATGGACAAAGGAAACTTAATAATTGATAGATAGAAAAGCTTGCAGTTACACGAAAAATATACGAAGGCAGGACCCATTGTTTGTATGTCCAGGGATGTATGTACATACATATATGGCTTTTAAAAACTTGTGTAAAAAACATTATAAGGCAAGGATATCTGATACCTGGGAAAATAGCCACTTGATTAAAATTCTAATAAAAGCTCAATGCAGCTTGAAGTTAGCACCAAAATAAAATTCGACATTTTGACAAACAATATTTGCTGCTTTCTGAAATACAATACGTAGCAATACCACCAAAGTCATAATACAAATAAATAAAATAATTTGGCTAAAAAAAATTATGAAGAAATATATAAAAAATAAAATCTCTTTACAACAGAAAAAACTGATTAATTCAGGTCATAAAGAGCAAAACAGTTAAGAAAAAAATAATTAAACTTTATAACAAAGGCAACATTTATTTGTATATCTAAAAAATGTTTAAATTATATTTTTAATAAAGAAAGGGGCCGTAGAAATCTTTTCCAAACAAAAGATTCCATAAATTGGTTAAAAAATATATATCTAGAGCAAGCAATAATTTGGCATGGTTCTTGTTATACGAAACAGAGTTATAAACAAATATTTATTAAATCCTAAGACAAAAAAAGCAATTATATTTTCATTTTGAATATACGTTTTAACTTTAAAGTGAACCAGCAACCTTAGTGCCCAATAAATTGAAACGAGTTCACAAAAAGTGTACCTAAATACACAATCAATTTGGTTTATCACTTCTTAAGAAAGGAGGTCTGAATAAATGACTTTGGCTTTTTTTAATTTAAATGCAGTTCTTACTTTCCACATTGTTCTCCTTTCAAAAAGGTAAAGTTTTAAAGATCTGAAGAGAATTTGTTTATGTACTTCACGCAGTAAATATGGTATTAATAGGTAGTAAAACAAACTATATCTCTTTCGCCCACTTTGCAACTTATCAATGCCCGATGCAGTTCTTAACTTTACGTTTTTTTCCACCAACTGACAGCGAGGAAAACTGAATGGAATGGAGCAAGCACACAGGAAATGAGCTTTGCGGCGGAAATTTACTGGGTGGAAAATGGTTGTGTTTGATTACTTCTTGTCTCTTTTTCTCTTTTTTTTTTTTAATAAAATGTTTTCCCATTTTCCCACAAAGTTGTTCACAACAAACTCACCTGTGAAGCGAAGGTGCATTTGATGGCAGGCGTTGCTGATACGCGGACATATTGGCAGCCTGTTGCTGTTGCTGTTGCTGCTGCTGCTGCTGCTTTTGGTGTTGCTGCTGTTGCGTTGCTTTATTCTGTTGATTAGAGATGCTGATAGATGATTGATGCAAATGATGGGCCGTGGGTCCATTATCATGCTGCTGTTGCTGCTGCTGCTGCTGCTGCTGCTGTTGCTGCTGCTGCTGCTGCTGCTGCTGTTGCAATTGTTGTTGCTGGTTGCTACTGGCGACAACTCGTTGCTGCTGGTGATGCTGCTGCTGCTGCTGCTGCTGCTGATGGTGTTGGTGTTGCTGCTGCTGCTGCGCACTATTGGATGTGTTGTTGTTGCTGCTGCTACTGTTGCTGTTGTTGCTGCTGCTGCTGCTGTTATTGTTGTTGTTGTTGTTGTTATTGTTGTTGTTGTTTGTGGGCGGCGGAGCACCGACCTGCACTGAAGTGGAGCGTATAGCTGCTTCCATTTCATGCCGAACTCTTTTGGCTTAAACACTTGTTGTTGGCCGCAGAATTGATTGATTTGTTTGGTGGTGGTGGTGGTGTTAACGTGTTGCTGTTGCTGTTGTTGTTGTTGTTGTTGCTCTTGCTGCTGCCGACAGTTGCAACATTATTGCACTGCGACATTCTCTCGGAAATGCCCCACAAAAAAAAAAATTTTCGCTTTAATGTTAACACTTGGATTTCTTTTAGATTTCCACGTATTATTTTCTTTTCAAGTTAAACTATTAATTTTTAGTTGCTATTCGGGTTTGCTGTTGTTGCTGCAACTGGGCAACAACAGTTGCCTTAATGCGATTGCATTTTTTTTTTTTTTGGCTACACTCTTTGCTTTGCACAACAAATCAATTATTTATATATATATATATATAATTTTTTTTTATTTTCTTGATTTCCTTTTATCTATTTACACATATGCACTGCTCTGGAATAATGACAAAGAAAGGATTTTAGCACTAAATATTATGTTATACATATATCACTTCTTTCGTATCTTTTATTTAGTTGCATCACTTCACTTTACCCAAAAAAAAAATATGCAAAAAATAATTGTGAATTGATTTGGCAATTTAGCACTTTAAAATAGAAAATCCGGATATATTGGGTGTGTATTGTGTGTGTGTGTGTGTGTGTGTATGTGCGTGTGCGTATGTGGCCATAAAAAATCTTGTATTTTGTTATTAATTTTTTCTTTTGTTTTGTTATTATTAATTTGGTAATCCTCTAAACGAACCGAACCGAAAAACACGACAGCGCAGACGAAACGAATTTTTCCATTAATTAACAGCTTTTGCACACTTTTTCAGTCCTCTCGCCCTCTCTCGCTCGCTCACTCGCCTCCTTTCATTCGCTCTATCACAAGACACACACCGAAAAAAAAGAGGCAAAAACAAAAGAAGTTTACTTTGGTTTTATCATCCATCCGTCCGTCCGTCCGTCCGTCCGTCCGTCCGTCCGTCCAACTGCCGCCGTCCGTTTCGACCTGCAAAAAAGGAAAGAAAGAGAAACACTCTGATTAGTTGCAAAAAAAAACAACAACAACAACAACAACAAGAAAAACACACTCGCACAAAAAAAAAAAGACACACACGAATGAAGAAACGATAGCAGGCATAGCAGGTTAGATGATTAGAAAATCGATAATGGCCATAAATATTCGAGCAGATAATGTTCCCCAGACCCCAAAAACCCCGGGGCCCCGTAACCCCGTACCCCCCTTCAAAAAACCGCAATCCCCGGGACCGGTTTGAAGTGCAGCGCCATTATCGCGCGTCTGCGATTATTTCTGTCATTGAATTGCCTGCCAGCCATCGCAATCCGTATTTTGTTATCGACCGGCGGCTTAAGGTATTTACGGCCGAAAGTCCTCCAGATCGAGCATTTTAAGGCAACGGAAGGGACACATCCAGGTAACAGTCTATTTCACAACAAAAACAACTTTCTCTAGCAACTAACTTAGGTATTAAATAGATTATCATTTGTATTAACAAATCAATTTAATTGAGTTACTTTTAAAATGTATACTAAAAAATTAATACTAATGTATAAAATTTCAATCAATAAAAAAATGTTTCTACAATGCAATTCTTTAAAAAAAATTTATATTAATCGATAGTTTCTCGCTTTTGATAATTAAATCAAGCTGTCACTTTACTAAATAAAAAAAAAAAATTTATCTTTTAAGCCCTATAATCATTTCCGTCTTCGATTGCTATATCTATTTACTAGACTCGCTTTTCTGTAAACGTTAAAAATCCTTATTCTCAAATAACAAACATTAAACAATAAAATATATATTTGTTAAAGTTAGGTTTTAAAACTGTACTGAAAGATGCAAATTAAAAATTAACGTTTTTTTATGTTTTAAAATTTTATTCATTGTTAAACATTCATTCTTATGAACACTAAACTCATTCTCACACACATTCATAAAGTTCCCATAAATATTTGTACATTAAAAGCAATAGATGACTTAGCAAATTCTATTCAAGTTGTTATTAATTAAATAAAACAGAAATATAATTATTTCGGAATTTGCACATTCATTTTTAATGCCGTTTGCCAAATTGTGTTTTAGACAAATGTTTGTGAGCTGTAAAAATAAAAGACACAAAATAATTCAATACACAATTTATTTTTATCTCTAATAAGAAATGTTTTTGTGACTATACATACATATATCGTAAAAAAAATGTCTATATCAACAATATTTCTTTAATGACTTAAATTTTGAACAATAATAAAACTGCAAAGTATAGTTTAAAACTGCAAAATCATATAAATTTGTAACTTTTGCGAAATTTTCGCAGCAGTGTCAATTGAATTTCAGGAATTTCGTCTGCCTTTTAAGCATTTATAAAATGTTCCACGTTCCCCGGAAACTCTTTCATGTTACCTGCTACATTTATTTCAACACCCAAAGGAACTAAAGCGCTTTAAAAGCAGAACTCATCAATAATTTTTCGCCCACTCATCTATCATTCGATAGCAGCATATACTTATATACATATATGCACGTTTATATGTATCATATCATTTATATAAAGTACATATGTACAGTACATACATATATACAAACGGAGATATATGTACGAAAAGCAGAGAAAGACAGCTGCCCTGGTAGAAAATCATGAGTGCTGAAGTTTGGCAACGTCGCTATGAAAAACTCTCAATATTTTTGGCCACATGTTTTTCAACCTCTGTCGGCGTCGCAGTCAGCGTTTTTGTTCCTTCTTATTTTTCTTGTTGTTGTTTGCAATTTTGCAACTGTGTTTGCTTTTAATGAAAGCAATTAAACTGCACGGCCGCAAATAAATAAAACAAAGCGGAATGCAAACAACGACGAAACAAAATAGTAAATTGAATTCACACTACGAAAATTGAATTGAATTTAGGATGCGAAAATTAAGCACGAAATTCCAGTGAAGTAAACTAAAAATAAAAAAAAAAAAACAAGTAAGAAAAGAGCGGAAAAGAAAAAAAAACTCAACCAAGCAGACGAAACAATGTTGCCAAACTTCACAATGCGAGAATGAGAGGAAGGGAGATAGAAGAAATAAAAAAAACTTAAGCACGCGTAAAGATTAAAGCAGCGCTGTTGCCGAATTTCACAAGCAACATAGGAAAAAGCAAAGAAGCAGAAAACAGCCCCAGCGCAAACAAATTAATAAAAATAACAACACACATACAGCAGACGACATCAAATACACGAAAAAAGAGGCTTAAAAACTGTTAAAAAAAGAAAATAAGAAAAACAAAAACGTAAGAGCATAAAAATCCCAAAAAGAGAAACACAATCAAAGACTAGCAGAGCAGCATTATAATAATAATAATAGCATACTAAGGAAACTACAGTGGACACTCTAAATACTTCATAAATAATAGTACCTATTACACTAACTTTAATGGTACAAAAACCATATTTGGACCATAATTTATGAAAATATTATTATAACAGAACGCTGTTGAATATGATTATTACAAATATTTCTAAAATTATGTACTTCGAATGAACCAGTTAATATATTTAATATTTAAAATAGTAGAAAGTGAATAAAGGAACATTTACTGTATTCAATTTTTTGACTTTTCAAGCCCTCATAAGTTTATTGTATCGAGGTTGCATAGTAAAGTACTAAAAAGACAAAAACCAACTTAAAGAAGAAGTCGAAAATGATGCCGAGGCACATGTTCAAGAGCGAGCGAGAGGGAGAGGTAGCTAAAGAGTAGGAGCAAGTGAGAGGGGTAGTGGGAGTGAGTGGAAGAGGGATGGCAACACCAGGGGGCTCTGCGCACAAGTCAAGCGGAAGACAGAGTGAGATAGAGCGAGGGGGAACAACAAATAAACCAGGCAGTAATAGTGCAAAGAAGACGGTCGAAAAGGGGGAGGGCAAATGATGAAAGGAAAGGAGAAGAGGGCGCAAGGGAGAGGAGAGCTGCTGAGGTTGAGCAAAAACAGAGAACAACAACTGACGCGGGAACTTCTACACAAGCCCATATTCACATTCACGTACATATCGACAGTGGAGCTCGAAATATTAGTTCACAAAGAGTTCATATTGGCGCTTAAGTAATTCATTGGAAGAGCGGTCAGTTTTTATGGTATCGATGTTAATGGTAAAGAATATATTTCTTAAAAATGTTTTAAAACAATAACTACTAAGGATTATTGAGTTGCTAAAAAAACAAATTGTTTATATTTATTATATGTACATACATATTTCTGTTTAATATTTCATTTATTTACAAACATTTATTTAACAAGTTTGCAATTGAAAACCATTTCAATTATAAGTGCTTTATTTATGCTCAAACAAATCAAAAAATTAATTTCAATTTTAAAGAAATTTTAAATGCATATTATATCGAATTGACAGGTGCTACAATTCCGGGCATTGCTGTGTACATACATACTATGCCAAAGCAAACAGTAGGCGGCAGGGCGAATGGAATGAAAAGAGGAAGTGGAAGAAGAGAGGGGGAGGGTGAAAATGGGGAGACATCGTGCGCAGGAACGTTTATGCATGTGGTGGTGTGGGTAAAAGAGTGCGGGTGACGCAACAGCAACAACAAGTGCAAGGCGGCAGAGCCGTTGGCAACTGAATACCGCACACACACACACACACACTTTCGCAGACATAAAACTCGCAACGTCATAAAACGAAGCGGACAACAAAGCGACCAAGCGACTAAACGACGAACGATGCGACAAAGCGCCGACGACGAAACGACAAACTCGCACAAATTCCCCAGAGAACCAATGTGCCAGAAAGAGAGAGTGGGCGGCGGGCAGTGAGCGAGAGCGAGACGGGGCAAATGCTCTCATGCCAAGTTTTGTTGTTGTCTGCTTTTATTTTATATTTTTCACCTCCCGCCGGCCTGTTCAAATTTGCTGGCTTTACTTTTTGGGCTATTTTCTGAATTCGCTTTTTCGACAATTCAAAAGTTAAGGCAAATGCACAATATTTATTTGAAAAAAAAATTAAATATTTGCCATAAGCACGTTTGGTATTGGAAATTCTGAGTACTAAGGTCACATTTTTATGTGCTAATTTTTTGGAACACCATTTTGTATGGAGTTTCAGTTCAATGTGTACTTAAACTACTTTTGCACACTGTATGTATGTACATATCTATTTTTGCAAGTTTGAAGTTGAATTGTATTATCTTTCTTAAACAAGCTTTTTTTTAATCAAATTTCAAAGTTTTAATTTTAAATTTTAATTTTCTTGTGATACCCACCTTACTAAAAACGAATAGAAATAAGAGGAGTCTTTAAAGGGTTTTATTTAATCTTCTACTTTCTTTTAAATAAATAAATGTTTTCATAAAATATCAAAAACTAAAAAATACACATCATCATGAACATAAAAATTACTATAAGAGAGCCGATATTTAATAATATTAACATTTGGTTATTCGTAT